GAAAGACATAATAAATACTCCTACATCAAGAGGAGTAGCAGGAGGAGCAGTAGCAACAGTGGCTTTTTTTTTAAAGCAGTTAGTTATTCACGGCGAAACATTCTCTGCCCTAGATTCTATTCTACAAAAGGTAACTGTCCAATAGCAAGGCCTCTAATCAGAAGGTTTTGAGGAGCGTGTCTTAATTGCTGATGTTCCCAGGTACACCCTGACCACGTTAGGGTCCCAGCTATGGGCAAATAGTTGACCCCCAAACTGGGGTCGAAACACTATGAAAGTGTAACAATAGGTTTTAAAACCAGAAATACATTTTTGTAAAATGTTATTACCCGCAATGAATGTTTGAAGAAAAGATTATTACCAGCAATACATTTTTGAAAAAAAATATTACCAGCAATAACAATTTTGTCGGCATTAAATAACCCATAGAGGTTGATATGCCGTAAAACAAACCAAACCAAGCCAATAGGTAATAAACTTGCTGTTAAACCAATTCCAGTTTTTCTACTGTTACTTTTGATAACTCAATTACAACACAAATGAAAAGGTCTGATGTCCAGAGAAGTTATCAAGCATTATACACACCATGTTGAGTAATACATTCATCATATAAGTCGGCATTATTCTGTTGGAATTGCGCGTCATTTCCTTGTTGCAGAAATGGCAACAGAACGAGTTGAACAATATCTTAGATGCATATGCTTCTTTTTACACTGATGATCACCCTGTACAAGGCCCAAGAGCAACTCGAGTTAGAGGTGCAATTTATGGTAATATATGAAAAATGTTGACCCTAGACTTTAACAAGTTAAGATTGTAGCGATCAGGGAAGCGGCCTATTGGGAGTCGGTTCCAGAAAGCAATGGTTCGTGGGAAGATGCTCATCGAGTGGAACTTACATCTCACCAATGGAATATGAAGGGAATGAGGGTGATGCGCTACAATGTGCGTCGCGTGGCTGATCTGCCCATCGTTTACTTTATAGCAAAGGCCAGTAATAACTGTAACCTGGTCATGTAAAAGGTTGATCCTATATGAGTGACGCAAACACACTCAGGAAGGTTTCGTTTCCCTCATTAATTGCTCACATACAAAAAGGCATCACTTACAGAAAGAACCTGATCTTATCACTCAGAACTACTAAGCCTCATTCGATCCACCAGGTAAATCTTTTTCATACCATTGGAGACATGAATTAGCGTGTTGTTGCAGAAGTGGAGGTCTAGACAGAGGCATACATGCCCATAGTACTGCTGTAAATAAACGATTCCCAATGGTCCCATGACGTATTTTCTCTGCAGAAGGCGACATGCGATGTGCCAGTTGTGGCCTAACAATGAGTCGATCTTGAAAGTACTGAGTGGCCATCCAGAAACTGGTTTACGAGTACAACCTACTTCTGACAACATCGAAACAACACCAACATCCTCAAAATATGCAGCAATTCTTAAAAAACAACATCCATTCTCACGAAAGTCCACAATCTGCCCCCTCCCAAATGGTGACAATTTAACAAAAGGCATAAAACTACGTTTGTCGAAATTCTAGTTGCACGAACACAAACCAGGCCGCATTATAGTTTATATATTAAAGCATTTTTTTTTTCAATCGAAAAACCTAACTAATAAAACGTTAAGCCAATTGCCAGATCCAAAGACTGTCGAAAGGTTTTCGGCCCGAATAACCTCCCCGCCAAATCATCTAAAAAACAGAATGTTTTTCGAATGTGTTCTTAGTCGGGCGGAGAACTTTTCAGCACTTTCTCATAGATAGATAGATAGATAGATAGATAGATAGATAGATAGATAGATGTGAACAAACTGAAATAGATACATAGATAGATAGACAGACAGACAGAAGCAATCATGTTCTTGCAATCGACTGCGCAGAAACAAGATCCATTAAGACCAAATATAGTAAATCGTGATATTTTGTTGCCTGCTTTCTGTCTGCTAACACAATGCAATTTTCCACAAAGGATCCCTGTCTTCTGATATCGTTGGCGCCAGGACATTTTTAAACTGGAAGCTCGCTAATAATCCGAATCCATTTGGCGCCCACATCTCGAATTATATCAGTAGAGCTCTTTAGTTTGATTTATTTGCAAATACAATCTATCCTGCTAGTAAAAGGACCCACTGTTCAGATGCAGAACTGTGGCTCAAATAACCTATTCACTAAAAAAGATGCGTTGCATATGCGCGCCCTTTTATGTCTTGTTTTAAATTTCTTTCTCGGAAGGTTTTATCTCGCTTTTTCTTCTTTGCCTTCACTTATTTTCCTTACATTTACTTCTGTTATTTTCCTTCGTTTTCGCCATTTTGTTTCCTTTTATTTTCTTTATCGCCTTCGTTTACATCCGATAATTTTTTTTCTTTTAATTTTGCTTCAGTTCATTCTTTTACTTCCACTCCTTTAATTCTTTCTTTTTTTTTCCCCTTCTTTTATGTTCTCCTAATTCATTCATTTACTTTCCTTCGTTACTTTCTTTTACTTCTTCTTTATTCATTTATAACATTTCATTCTCCTTCTATCTTTTTCCACCACCTTTTACGTTCCCCGCTTTCATTCTTTTAATTTCCTTCGTTTCTTTCTATTACTTCCTCTTCTTTATTCATTTTACTACCACTCCATTGATTTTTGGTTTCTTTCTTTTCTTTCTTTTACGTTCTCCTCTTTCATTCTTTTACTTTAGTTCTTTTTTCTTTTACTTAATCTTCTTTAATTCATTTTAATTTCACACCTTTCCTTCTTCTTCTTTCTTTTTTATTTCTTCTTTTATGTTCTCCGCTTTCCTTCTATTACTTTCCTTCGTTTCTTTCTTTTATTTACTCTTCTTTATTCATTTTACTTTCACTCCTTTCATTCTTTTTCTTTTTTTCTTTTACGTTCTCCGCTTTTATTTTTTTCATTCCTTCGTTTCTTTCTTTTCCTTCCTCTTTTTTATTTATTTTACTTCTACTCCATTCATTCTTTTTCTTTCTTTCTTTTCCTTCTCATGCGTTCCCCCCTTTCATTCTTTTACTTTTCTTCGTTTCTTTCTTTTCCTTCTCATGCGTTCCCCCCTTTCATACTTTTACTTTTCTTCGTTTCTTTCTTTTACATTCCATACATTTCTTGCTATTTTTCTTTTACTCCTGTATTTCTTTCAATACCCATTCTTTTTTTCTTTCTTTCTTTCTTTCTTTCTTTCTTTCTTTCTTTTATTTCCAGTTATGATCTTCTTTTTACTTTCCTTCCTTTCCTTCTTTTAATTTTTTTAGATGAACCTTTCGACTTCTTTTCGCAAACCTTTCGTCTTCTGTTTTCTCTTCCTTTTCTCTTTTTATTCATTCTTTCATTTCTTTCTTTCTTGTTAATGTTTTAACCATTCCCTTCCCTGAAACTTGTTTTTTTTTTCCGTTTTGTCCTCTTTCGTTTTATAGTTTTTTCCCTTAGTTTTTCATTATATTATTACTTTTTGTTCCATTTCCGTTTTTTCCAGCAAAGTTTTTTCTTGTTCCCTTCTATTCAGTTTTCATTTTTTTTTCAATTTTATGGATTTATTCTTTTTGTTGCATTTTTCACTCTCTTGCTTTATCTTTTTTGTCCTCTTATTTTTCTTCCTTGCATTGTCTTCCGGTTTGAGATTCTTGTTGATATCATGAATTGTCTTATTCATGATAGTTAAAATATTGCCGCTATGTTTATCAACTTTCAAGTCTGTGTTCCCAATACTAGGGTGTGTGCCAAAACACACACACACACACGCACACACACACAGATATCCCCACACTTTCATTTATTATTATGCGTATAGATTTACTTGAAAGTGACAGTTTCCTGTGAATGTGTGCGCATACGTATCATTATATCTCTAATAGCTGCTATCCGATAACATTGTGAACTATAAACGGACTGAAATTCATTACCGCGTCCATAGAATTGATTTGAATGCTTGTGCACGATGATGTCCGACAGTATATCTTTGTATGTGCGTGAAATATACTCTACTGTCACATTAGCGGTTTGCGGATTTTCTCGTATATCTTACTCTCTTTTTCGTGATAGAATAACAGAGAAGACGCACTCAGTGTCGGTGACGACGATTGTTTTCTGTCGTGAATTTGAGATGTCACATTGGCCGAGAACCGTCCTGCCTCACTACACAATTTGACAAAGATAGATCTTCATATTGTACGCATTCTTTTCACTTTTATTTCGTATTTTTTTCTTGTCTTTTTCTTCCTTCCTTTCTTTCTTCCTTCTGTCTTTCTTTCTTTCTTTCTTTCTTTTTTTAGCTTTTTCCTTGTTTTGTTTTTTTCTTTTTTCTTTCTTTCTTTCCCTTTCTTTTTTCTTTTTTCTTTTTCTTTTATCTTTTTTCTTGTTCTTTTCTTTCTTTCTTTCTTTCTTTCTTTCTTTCTTTCTTTCTTTCTTTCTTTTATCGCCCCATCCTTTTCACTTGTTCTGTTTTCTTTCTTTCTTTCTTTCTTTCTTTCTTTCTTTCTTTCTTTTATCGCCCCATCCCTTTCACTTGTTCTTTCTTTCTTTATTTATTTCTTTCTTTCTTTTTTCTTTCTTTCTTTCTTTCTTTCTTTTAGCCGCCCAATCCCCTTTAAATTGTTCTGTTTTCTTTCTTTCTTTCTTTCTTTTAGTAAACTCCTTTTCTTACACGTTTTAGTTCTCCCTGAAAAGTACTTAATTATTTCTCTTCTATATTTCGTTCTTCGTTCCCCGCTTCATTCCTTTAATCCTTCTTTCTGTCTTTTTTCTTCGACTTTCTTTCAATCCTTCCTTTCTGTTATCATTCTCTCATTCTTCGAATAATTCGCTTGACTAACCCCCCCCCCCCCACTGCCCATTTCAGGTGCTTACCCTTCCGTCCATTTGTCTCAGACAAGACAAATTCAGTCATCAGCTCAAACCAAAAAAACATTCATCTGTGGCGTGCATCTGGCAAACTAAAAAAGAAACTAAAACATTTCGCTCACAGGTTGGCCCGAAATATCCGATTTTTAATTTTATGTTTCATGCACCTTTTTATCTTTCTGTCTTTTTAACATTAGTTTTCTGCAACATCGGACAACGAAGAATGTGAAAATAGAACACTTGATGTAAGGCAAGCATTTTAAATGATCAATCTGCAACTGCAGACACCGACCAGTTAGCAAGCAAGTATATACACATGTGCATAAAGTGTACATATTCACATGTATTGTCGTATAAGTAACTAGATAGATAGATAGATAGATAGATAGATAGATATGAAGAAACTCGGATAGATAGATAGATAGATAGATAGATAGATAGATAGATAGATAGATAGATATGAAGAAACTGAGACAGATAGATAGATAGATAGATAGATAGATATGAAGAAACTGAGACAGATAGATAGATAGATAGATAGATAGATAGATAGATAATGATGATAGATAGATAGATAGATAGATAGATATGAAGAAACTGAGACACAGATAGATAGATAGATATGATAGATGATAGAAATATGAGATAGATAGATAGATAGATAGATAGATAGATAGATGATATGATAGAAACTGAGAAGAAACTAGATAGATAGATAGATAGATAGATAGATAGATATGAAGAAACTGAGATAGATAGATGGATAGATAGATAGATAGATAGATAGATAGATGGATGATAGATGTGAAGAAACTGAGATAGATAGATAGATAGATAGATAGATAGATGATAGATGATGGATAGATGGATGGATAGATAGATATGAAGAAACTGATAGATAGATAGATAGATAGATAGATGGATAGAAGATAGATGGATAGATAGATGGATGGATGGATAGATGGATGTGAAGAAACTGATGGATAGATGGATAGATGGATGGATAGATAGATGGATAGATATGAAGAAACAGATAGATAGATAGATAGATAGATGGATGGATAGATAGATGGATAGATATGAAGAAGGGATAGATAGATAGATAGATGGATGTGAAGAAACTGAGATAGATAGATAGATGGATGGATGGATAGATATAGATAGATAGATAGATGATATGAAGAAACTGAGACAGATAGATAGATAGATAGATAGATAGATAGATAGATAGATAGATAGATAGATAGATAGATATGAAGAAGCTGAGATAGATAGATAGATAGATAGATAGATAGATAGATAGATAGATAGATAGATAGATAGATAGATAGATAGATAGGGTTTTTATTTGGTGGGGAGTTCAGAGTAGATTCCTGAAAAATGATGGTGAAGATGAAAATATTTCTGAAGCGATCCCAATGATCCTCTTCCCTCTTCATTTTATTTCGTCATTTATTTTCGTAACTTTCAGCTCCTATTTATTTACCGTTAAGTCAGCAGCATGTCTTGAAAATAGCGAAGAAAACACTTCAGACGATACTTGAACTCACCAATCCTCTATATGGCCGCAAATATTGGACATTTTTCTCCCATATGAAGAAAAGACTAGTGGAAAGGATGCTGAGAATAACATGAACTGAACATGTGAACAACAAGGAAGTTTCAAGGAAAACTTGAACAAAAAGGACACATAATTAGAGAAAGAGACAGATTTCAGCGACACATAATTAGGAAAAAAGGCTTAGGGAATTTGACACCCACAGGACACCCACAGGACATAATGAGGGCAAGAGAAGCGGTAAGAAAACAAGTAACATTCTTAACGAGCTTGTGTAGCAGAACAGAGACGGGCTAGGATAGTAAACGGACAAATATTGCTTAGAGTTGCAAAGGGTAGAAAGTCGTGGTTAGTCATGATCAACTGCGTCCAGAAAGGACACAGCATATAAAAAACAGCGAGTCTTTACGAGTCTTTCTTACTACAACAACAAACCCCTTAATAAAATAAATTAAAAACAACTAGTCAGAAATTAATGATAAGACCAAATTCGGCCCATTAAAAATAGGTATTTGCTTAAATTTAACTCTACTTTTTTGGAGTAAACGTCGTAAATTGTGTATTTTTAAAGAGTTTTCGAAATACCTATTATGATTATTTTATTGACACTTAAATAATTATATACATCATATTTATTATATAATGTTTATGTACTCTTAAATATCAGAATTGTTTTATCATGTACACCTATCTAAACTGAACATCTAATCAAATGTTTTTGAAGTACTGCTGTAACCCATTTTCGCAACAACATAATTGATATGCAGAGAATGTACGACTTTGTATCATATTAGTGTTCGTATTCATGTTAAAATGCTATATGCATAAAACGTGTAAATACTAGATCTCAATCAATGAATGCTTGAAACAAGATCCGTAAACACAAGACGATCATTTTGATAGCTTCTCGATTAACAGACTAGTTTGTTTTTTTTTTTAAAAAAAGGTCATTTTTTTCTATGTATCTTTACTTTTCTTTTTAATTTCAAATATTTCTCTAATTCTCTAAGGCTCCTTTGTTCCAAAAATTACTTCTGTCCGTTTGAAAATTGAGACAACATTGCCCTTACTTTACTGGACTAAGTAGGGATGAAGCTAACGATTTACTTGTTATACTAAAATTGTATTTAACTTTTTCAGCTAAAGGTCTGTTCTTTTAACAACAAGAAAAATCTCCAACTCCGAGAAAATAAACTATACATTTATTTTTTGAAGACGCTTAAGATGAGATAAAGTTTAACGAGATAATCGATTTTGTCATTAATGAGTTCGAAACTCAGTAGGTTTCGTATACTTGTAGCCGTGTACTAAACTGAATTAAGCAATTCTCGGCAAATAACAATTGGCAAAGTTTAACCTTTGTATCCGCAAAAAAAGAGTGTGTCAAAAGGACGGTTTTTCTCTTTACAATACTATTACTCAATACTTTCCCGGTAAGTTTTCTTGTTTTAAAAAACTATGTTTAGAATTTTAATAAAGCTAAAACACATGAAAGAGGATTTGTACATTTTCTTCTTTGTTGAGAATTTAAAACAAAAATATTAAACTATATTTATTCGTTAGACGGTTTATTTACAAGAATACTTTTTATATTTACAAAATTATGTGTAAATTATAAAAATATGTGTAAATACAATGTTTTTACCCACTGATAAAGTAATAAATATCAAAACAATTTTGTTTTATTCAGAAATTTATTAAAAAATTACAAAATTATAAAAATACGTGAATCGATAATTATGAAGTATTTATTATTTACCAATTTATAAAGAAATAAATATCAAAATAATTTTTTTAATTATGAATTTATAAAAATGTCTGTGAACAAGAAAATTGAAATAAGCACATAACGACGAGTAACTAAGTTGGCAGCTCTTAGAGAAAAAATTGAAAAATGCATGTGCAACAATCCCATTAAACACTTTGGCTAACGTTTCTCCTAGTCCACCATACTAATAAATGTCTGGAAGGTAAAGGCCACAATTTTGAGCATCTCTTGTGATTGTAGAGTCCAACTTATATTAATCTCGTGATGTCTCAGTAAATTTAGTATTACAATATCTATACAAGTTTTTCCTTACTTCGAGTTTGTATACATTTTTGGTGGACTCTATATATACTATTATAATTTGAATCTTACATATAAACATCTTTATTCCTGTTTAATAACCTATGTTTGTCAACATGCTCTTACTTTAAAGGATTATTGCTGTTCTTTGATGTTTTTATTTCAATGTCTGAACTTTTGTACTTGAATATTCTGTCAGATTTCTTCAAGGGCAGATTCTTATCGAGTGAAAGTGCTTCATCAACGGTTTTGCAGTATTGTAATTTCATAAAAAATACTTCCGATTTCCTTATCTACAGTAATTTAATATTCTCCTAATCATACGGTTTATTTTAAAAGGGAAGTAGTAGTAGTAGTAGTAGTGGTGGTGGTGGTGATGGTAGTAGTAGCAGTAGTAGTAATGAGGATAATGGAGTTACCAAGCCATTTACATATTATTTTTTATGTCCTTGAAAAAAAATTTCGAGAATGTCTAATTTCTTATTACGAAACTCCTGTTTGATCAACACCCACAGAAACAACCTATAGTTTTATGGTGCAACTAACTTGAACTTAGTTGCAACTTTTGTGAAAAAAACTTATAATAGTTGACGAAAGACAGTAGACTTAAACTTTCGCTTATAACGTCTTCTTGTGACTTTGTACAAACACAATCATCAAGAGTTTCCGAACGGTTTCCTCTTAGCAGTTTTATTCACAAGCTTTAAGTCAAACCATGGCATGTTTTTCAAGCACTTCTAGCTAGGACTGTCTCCCCGCACGCCGATATAATCAAGAAATAGTGTTCTTCATATTCGGACACAGGTCTCATCGTCTGAACCCTAACGTTCTAACCACTCAGCCACACGCCCATATTATTATTATTATTATTATTATTATTATTATTGATTTCTGCTGTGGATACATTTCCTTCTGGGTCCCAACTAGAGACCTAAGGTCAGAAATGGCTTCATAACATTTTCCTCTAATCATTAAACAAAAAACAAAAACTAATATCACACACATTTTACATAGATACAACTCTTCGTAATATGTGTGTTGTACTTATGGATACAATCTTTTTGTATTTTTCAAGACATGGGCTACTAGAAATCTATTCAATGAATCTATGTGAATATTTTCCAATCAATCCGAGTGCTCCAACAACAATTGGAATTACTGATGTCCACACGTGCCATATTTTTGAGATTTCCACCACAAGATCCTTGTATTTTGATAGTTTTTTGAAGATCTTCAAAGATACATTACAATCTACAGAGACTGCCATTGTCAATAAGAAAGCAGATTCTGTTCTTTTGGTCTTTCATCTTTGATGTCTGGACGATTAGCTTTGATTCTTCTGTCTGTGTGTAAAGCCCCATAAAATTGTTACAGGTCCTGTCTCTATAATCGGACCTGGGTGGTGTTCATACCAATTTCTTGCAATTTCCTTTCCGTAAGAAATTTTCCAATGCAGATATTTTGGCCCACACTGTCATGCCAGGTTTTATATTCAGTGGGTGCTAATACCGCGCAACCTGATAAAAGATGATTAATTATTTCTTGATACTTATCACAGAATCTGAATTTGGGACTAATGCAGCTTTTCAGTATATGTGCTTGGTAATTTCTAGTTAGCAAGCATTGGTCCTGTGCGGTTTCAGCTTTTAAACCTGCACTACGTAACCACTGAGGGTTAAAAGCTGAAACCGAAGGTTTTATTCTTGCTGAACAAGACTAATACAAGACTACTACTACTACTATTACTATTACTACTACTACTACTACTACTAATAATAATAATAATAATAATAGAAGATTCAGAAAGAAAACTGTAATTTAAATAGGATATGGCGAGGAAAGCGATTAGAAAAGACTGATTATTGTAAGCTGGAATGAATAACAAAAGGAAAAACTGAGAATGTGAATCAGAAATGGGAAAATTGAGCAAGTGCTTACATTCAACTATTTGGGCAGTGAAATAACTGACGACTGAAAGTTTGACACACGAAAGAATATAGAAACAGCTCAGGATAACGTTCAGAAATTGAATATGGTACTAAGATATGGAAAAATAACATTAGAAAGAAAGACAATTTTGCGAGACGACTAATAGTATGTGATTGGCGCCCGCAAGAACCAAATGATCTGAATCGAATTTAATATCAATTCATTCTCAGTGAAATTGATCTGTGGTGGCCCAATGTGTATTGGGCTAACTCCAGATATAATAAAATAGACTTTGCAATACTTGTCACACCAGATCATCAAAATGATCACTCTAAACACAATAATATAACATTCAACTCTTTCCGAATTCTCTGCACTGTCCTAAGATTGACACCCAAAAACTTGGAAATGTTCGTATCGGAGCTTCCGGCGTGAATGTCAAACAGTACAGCATGCCGTTTCTAAAATTCTAGCGGAGTGAATTGCGTTATGGTGCTCTTTTTCTTACAGACGGTGCTCAACTATCCTTACTATACACTGCAGTCGACAAAATAAAAAAACAAACAACGCGCATGCGCGAAAAAAAAAATATAAATGACGACAATTTACCAATCGCACCAGGTAAACAGCTTAAATAAATCTCATGTGTCCATTAGTAGTGTTCGACGAACGCGTTACAATACTATTTAATGTCTACAGTCCTATATGGCAAGCTAATCCAAACAATTTTACCACAAAAAGAAATTGTTGAAAGGATTAAGATGTGCTTTTTACAGAGGAATGGTGAGAATACTGTGAATAGGGAGCTTGACAAACGATAAATTTCTAAGGGGAATAGGAACAACAAAGAAACTTGATAACAATCAGAAAAGGGTCGCTAAAAT